TGGTGTGTGTGTGTGTTGGTGTGTGTGTGTGAACAACATTACATTAAAAATAATATGAAATAAAAAAAACAAAAAGGCTTTATGGATATTTTAGTTTTTAGGGAATTAAGTAATAGTGTGCATGTGAAAATATGCCTTTACATCATCATATTGCACAGTAGTGAAAGGCTCATTATTTTGATTCCACATGGAAATAGAATAAAGCAATTAAAATAAAATGAAGTACATAAAAATACAGATAGTTAATTTCCATTTTTGAACCTATGCTTAACATCCTACTAACAAATTTTATTGGTGTGGTCAGCAGAATTTTATGTCATTTTTTTTAATATCCAGTGTGATGTGTACAAAGACTACTGATATCAGGCATACACTGAAATATGATATGAATGTGATGAATTTACAGGGCTGTTGAGAAATCACAGTCTAACGTTTACATTATAATTACTGGGGCTACTTACTACCTACTTATTTACTTATTTATTATGGTGGGGTTGGGGAGCTGTTTACTCGTTTATTTGTTTATTTGTTTATTAATTTATAGTTTTGTAAGATGTATGTGTGCAAGCACTGGTGTCACTTTTACCTTTTATGCACTTTAATGGGAAATATGCTACTACCACTGAGTGTTGTACTCCAAACACAATTTCATTGCCTAGACAATAACTAGATAGCGCATAGCAGTAACATAATGACCTCCGCACGCAAAAGTGCACCAGAACTCAGAAGAATGTATTCCTAATAAATGTCATGATACTAAGTGCACCCCAAAATTGTAGTGGTTTGGGTGGGGTTCTGTTTTTTTGGAGGGGGGCTGGGCATTGATGTGTGGGCCTGATGGAAAGCCCTTCATAAGATCTAAACAACAAAAGAAATCTGAAGCTCCCATGTTTAAAAGTTTTTGAGCTATAGCAATTTTTGTGTGTCCAGATATCCCTTTTTCAGATAAATTGGGGGTCCAAGGGGGGGTGGCTGGGGGGCACTGATTGGTGGGCCTGATAGACAGCACTTGATCAGAGCTAAACAACCAAAAAATAAATAAATAAATAAATCTGACGCTCCTATGTTTAACAGTTTTTGAGCAATAACCATTTCTGTATGTCCAGATACCCCTTTTTCAGATAAATTGGGGGTCTGGAGGAGGGAGGGGGCACTGATTGGTGGCCTGATGGATAGCTTCATCAAAGCTAAACAACAAAATAAATCTGAAGCTTCTATCTTTAACAGTTTCAGAGTTATAATCATTTTTGCATGTCCAGACACCCCCTCTTTGGATGGAGCCCCCTCCTCAAATATGGGGTGTATCGTAAAACCGTTGGCTGGCGCAGTGAAGGTTGGACTCAWCTACAGTCCTGCCGAATTTCATGTTGATTGGTGAGCTGTTTTTGTTCTATAGTTGACCAAAAATCACTGAAAAAAACTGTACGGAAACAATATGACTCCCACTTAAGCTTCGCGTGCAGGGTTCATAATAATAACCACTGTACAATGAATCACTGTGGTTGATTTCAGTAAAATGATCACACATTGATTATAAAACACTTCAATAAATGAGTATCAAAAGCATTTCAGTATAAAAGTATCAAAATATGTGTACAAATGTGTAGTGTCACTAAAACAGTAAAAATATACTTCAGGTGACACAAGTTTTTATTAATGAACCCTGTTCTTCCTGCAACTGTCGAGCAGCTGTGGCTGGAACTAACAATCACGTAAAAACAAAGGCTATGGATTAATTGCAATCATCTGAAGCAACTGCTATATCGAATAAAAAGGTCACTCTATTGGAATACTGTTTCATGTGGTCTCGTCACAGCAAAATTTGCAGTGCTAGTTTTACTTGAATAATAAAAAATCCTGCCATGAAAATGTTCAGGTCATCACTTTCAAACACTTGATGACAGTTACTGTAAAATGCTCACTGAAATGGGTAGCAGGTTCATGAGAAAAAAATGGCCTCTTCTATGTTTATCCCTTTCTATCTAATCTTGTTTGGCTTTAGTAAGTAATCCTGTTTGCATCTCTCCTCACTCAAAAAAAAAAAAACAGATGTGTTGGATTTACTTAACCAAGTTAGGCTTCACTCAACTGAGTTGAGTAAATTTAACATTCACATTTTCTTTAAAAGAAATKGAGACAATACAATGACAAATAAACTGATTGTGATTCTGAAAGTTACCACTTGCCATAACTTTTCAGCAAATCCAACACGTATTTTTCATCTTCATTTCCTTCTCCTGGTGTGTTAAAGTGTTATTTTTCTRCCACATTAAAAAACAAAACAAACAAACAAAATATCACAAAAAGAAAAAAAAACTACTGTATTATAGCCCCCAACTGTTCATGCTGTTTGCAACATTATTTCAGTTTGCTGCTTGATTAAGATATTCACATGCACAGTTAAAGTTAGTTATGACAATGTAAAAGGCCTGCATGTATTGCTAAAATCACCTGAGAATTGAGAAGTATGCATCTAGTCTCATTACTCATTGCTTTCATCACTTTCCTGGTGAAAAAAAAATATATAAAACTCAGCTCTTAAGTTTGTTTGCTTCAGTAAGAGAGGAGGGTAGTACAGGATGGGTTGGTTAACCATCATCTTGCTTACACTGCTTGCAAGGATTAGGTCCGAAAACCAAACATGTAAACTGATAGGGCAGACAGGATACATGGAATTTTCCAAAGAAGGTGATTTTAATATAGCTGGGGTTTTCTCTATGACAAGTATTGAGAAACAGATAGATAATGGCTACAAGGCAGTTCCTTATTCATAYTGTGAAAAGTGAGTAAACATGCTCCTATTGTATACTGTTTATATGGCCTCTTAGAGGAAGTGTTTCATATTAAGTTAATATGCTGTAAATGTCTTTGTTTGTTTATTACTTTGTATTTTGCAGTTGGAATGATCGGGAGCTGAAGTTTGCCAGAACAATGATTTTTACAGTGGAAGAAATCAACAGGGATCCAACACTCCTCCCAGGAGTAAGTCTGGGTTATAGGGTGTACAATGGATGTGGTACTACAAACCTGGTTCGAGCTGCTCTTGAAGCAGTAAATGGAAATAATTTTCTGAACTGTAGTGGTCAGACTCTGGCTGTCTTAAGTCATTCATCCTCGGGAGTAAGTGAAAACATAAACTTCTTACTCAGCTCTCTGTCTGTACCACAGGTGAGGAAAAAATACATTATTGTCTAAAAAAGTATTTYAGCTTCTTGATTTCATTGTTGTTCTTCTTTTTTGTTGTTTTTTAAGCTGAGTCACCTGTCTACCTGTGCATGTTTAAGTGATAAAACACGATACCCAACATTCTTCAGAACTGTGCCAAGTGACCAGTTCCAAAGCAAAGCTCTTGTACAGCTGATGGACTACTTTAACTGGCGYTGGATTGGGATTATTTATTCTGAGAGCACATATGCAGAAGAAGGCACAGCATCTTTTGTTAAGGAAGCCAAGAAAAAGGGRATATGTGTGGAATACTGGCTRATGTACTCTAGRACATCTCAGACTTTTGATTTTATATTGGAGGCACTGAGGAAGTCCACGTCAAACGTGGTGCTGATGTTCATGTCCTCATCTTATGCAACATCCTTTCTGGCAAAAATGGAAGTTTATAACATAACTGGAAAACAGTGGGTTGGCAGTGAGTCCTGGATCACACAGAAGGACCTTGTCTCTGTTAATACAAAGCATATCCTGCAGGGGGCAATGGGTTTTGCTCTCCCTGACAGACCTATACCAGGTCTTGGTAAATTCCTGCTTAACCTGAAGCCCTCAGATGAACCACAAAGTGTTATAATTAAAGCTTTCTGGGAGAAATTCTTTCGCTGYAGATTCTCTCCATCAAATACCTCCAAAATGTGCACTGGTGCAGAAAATCTACAAACAGTCATCAGTGACTACACACAAGTCTCATATTTCAGAGAAGAGAATAATATATACACAGCTGTGTACTCTGTAGCACATACCCTGCATGCCATTCTGCAGTGTCAAAATGCTTTAAATTCTACAAAAAAAACATGTGTGACCAAGAATGAAGTTCAACCCAAGTTTGTATGTTCTGATGAACAAGCAGATTTATCATTTACATTTTCTAGTTGCGTGTCTACAACACAAAACATTCACTTTTTTTGAGATGTGTTTTTTTTCCTTTGCTGTTAGATTTTCAACATTTTTCAATCTGTGTTTCTTCAGGTCTTGGAAAACTTAAAGTCTGTGAATTTCACAACAAAGAATGGAGTCAAAGTTTTCTTTGATGAAAACGGTGACTCCGTTGCCCAGTATGACCTTGTCAACTGGCAGATTAAAGAAAACGGTTCAGTTGAAATTGTACAAATTGGACAATATGATGATTCTCTACCTGATAGACTGAAATTAAACTTGAAAGAGGATGCCAAGATAGTTTGGGGGGATGACAGAAATSAGGTAATTACATGCAATTTTGAAAAAAAAAAAAAACCCGATCTTTTAACAGCTAATGACTAAATCTATATGCTGTTCTTTGGATATTTGAGATTTTATAACATGTCTTTCGACTTRTCAGGTGCCAAAGTCTGTCTGCAGAGAACCCTGTCTACCAGGGACTCGACAGGCACTAAACAAGAATAAGCCTGTATGTTGTTTTGATTGCATTGAGTGCCCRGATGGAACTATCAGTAATAGGACAAGTAAGTGAAAAGTTCTAATAGGATATAAGCCAAGACTGGTACAAAAATAGGCATGTCAACAAATATAAGGTACCTATAAAATGAAGTCAAGTTTTGTTCTAAATCTCAATGTTATTTGATTTTTCTTACAGATTCTCTTGACTGCTTGACTTGTCCACCTGAATTTTGGCCAAATGAAGAGAAAARCAAGTGTCTTCCTAAACACATTGAATACCTTTCTTATAAGGAGATCATGGGTGCACTTCTTACTGGATTCAGCACATTTGGCATGTTTTTATCCCTCCTTATATCAATGATTTTTGTTATACATAAAGAGACCCCCATTGTAAGAGCAAACAACTCTGAATTAAGCTTCCTGTTGCTGTTTTCATTAAAACTGTGCTTTCTCTGCTCTCTGACCTTCATTGGTCGACCCACACATTGGTCCTGCATGTTACGACACACAGCGTTCAGCATCACCTTTGTCATCTGTATTTCCTGTGTTCTGGGGAAAACAATAGTGGTTTTAATGGCCTTCAAAGCAAAACTTCCAGGCAGTAATGTCATTAAATGGTTTGGGCCTCTACAGCAAAGGCTTAGCATTCTCATGTTTACTCTCATACAGGTTGCTATTTGTACACTTTGGTTAACAATAAATCCCCCATTTCCAAACATGAATATGCAGTATTATAAAGATCAAATCATTTTAGAGTGTGCGCTTGGTTCGGYTCTTGGGTTCTGGGCGGTGTTGGGTTATATTGGACTTCTTGCTGTCCTGTGCTTTATACTTGCTTTTTTGGCAAGAAAGCTACCAGACAGCTTTAATGAAGCCAGACTGATCACATTTAGCATGTTGATATTCTGCGCAGTCTGGATCACCTTCATCCCAGCATATGTCAGCTCTCCAGGCAAATTTACTGTGGCTGTGGAGATATTTGCGATTCTGGCCTCCAGTTTTGGTTTGTTGCTTTGCATTTTTGCTCCAAAATGTTATATTATAGTACTAAAGCCAGAACAAAACACAAAAAAACATTTGCTGGGAAAAGTACCACCAAGAACACTTTAATTTGTAATTCCAACAAGAACAATGTTTATGTGAAAACGACAGGCAGAAAAACTACATTTCCATTTTGCCTACCCTTTTGTGCAGGGGTTCCCACATCAAACAAACTTGGTAAAAAGATTTAACTATTACTTTACACCAAAAGCCTTTCCTGACAACTGAGCCTCTGTTAGACAAATAATGTACCATTTTTGTTTGAGATGTATCAAATAAACTGTAAGCACTAACTCATTCTTCCTTTTTTCTCAACTACCTTAGATAATGTACATGTGAAATAAAAAAGTTTGTATTGTTTAATTATAAACTGCACTCTAAAAATGAAATGTTGGATTTACTTAACCATGTTATGTTACCTGGTTCCACTTAACTGAGTTGAGTAAGTTCAAAGCAACATACTCATGTTCTTTGGCTAAAAAACTGGCATATTGCTTTGAATTTACTCAACTAAGTTAAGTGGAACCAGGTAACATAACATGGTTAAGTAAATCCAACATTTCATTTTTTACAGTGTGAAATTACCTTACACAAAAGGATATTTAGAAGCAATTACAGTAGATAATTTAAAGCACCAAACACAATTAATTTGAATCAACCCCCTCAAACTATAAAAAAATAATTCAAACTTGATATGGGAAGACATCAACACAAATTGGACCAATTTAAACAAAGAATGTTAGTTTTCAAGGATTCATGGATTTATTATGACCACCACATGTGAAGCGTAAGCGGGAGTCATATTGTTTTTGTACTGTATTTTTTTTCAGTGATTCTTGGTCAACCGTAACACAAAAGCGGCTGCACCAATCAACATGACATTTGGCAGGACTGTAGATTAGTCCGACCTACACTGCGCCAGCCAACAGTTTTAAGTTTCAATTTTTGAATGTAATTACTGAAATAAATCAACTTTATCATGACATTCAAATTCTATGACCAGCGACTGTATTTACAAACTACAAAGCACACCTGGAAAACACCTCCCCTTCATCTGAACCAATCTACAATTTCTGTGCCTTTTGGGAAGACCCTAACTCTCCCTGACAAAACACGCTGAATCTTAAKAGCCGTGTGCTCATCTGATCTGAACAATGTAATACAAACATGCAAAAGGCTGCTCTCCTGTTTGTAAGTGTTCTCTGCATGAACATAGTTACTGGCTGTGAAATTTTGGAGAAATTTARCATGCCCAGTTTGTCTAAAGAAGGTGACATTATGATTGGGGGCATTTTCCCAATTTTCAACAAAGAGGTCCCCAGCACTTCTACATTTGAGAGGAAACCTAATGAAGTCACGTGTGCATTGTAAGTTTGGTTTTGTCTTTTGCAGATGCATTTATTTTTCCTTCCTTTCTGAGTTTCCCATTGAATGTATGTCTACAGTATGTTACAGTAGCATCTCAGTTATTTTATAATATCTGGTAAAACTCTAACTTTCCCAGGTATGATCTGCGAGCTTTTCGATGGACCCAAATGATGATCTATGCAATTGAGGAAATCAACAAAGACACTGGTCTCCTTCCTAACGTATCTCTTGGCTACAGAATTCTTAACTCATGTTCATCACCTACTAATACTTTACGTGCTGCACTAACACTTGCCAATACACCAACAGAAATTAAAAATACTTCTGGGTGTCCTCCAGCTATTTCTGCTGTAATCGGAGAAGCAGGGTCATCTCAGTCTTTGGCTGTTGCTGGCACTCTTGGACCATTTCAAATGCCAATAGTAAGAGAAAAAACGTTTCAGGGACTTTATGGTTTCATCTACTTCAATTCTGAGAAGAAYGTTCTGTAATAAAACTTACTTACTTTATTTATTTATTTTTATCTTTTTTCTAGGTAAGTTATTTCTCAACGTGTGCTTGCCTCAGTGATAGAGCTAAGTATCCWACATTTTTTCGGACAATCCCAAGCGATTACTTCCAGGCGAAAGCTTTGGCAGCACTCGTCAAGCATTTTGGYTGGGAGTGGATTGGAGCTGTTCACTCAGACAATGATTATGGACAAAATGGCATCCTGGCTTTTACAGAGGAGGTTAAAAAGTTAGGAGTTTGTATTGCTTTTGTTGGAACAGTTCTGCGTACACACCCTTTAGAAAAAATCTTGAAAGTAATAAAGATGATTAAACAGTCAACTGTCAAGGTAATTCTGGCTTTTACTCCTGAGGGGGACTTTTCTCCTTTGATGAAAGAAGTGGTGAACCACAACATCACCGGAATACAGTGGCTTGCAAGTGAGGCTTGGATAACAGCACCTCAGCCATCCACACCTGAAATGTACCAGGCTTTTGGTGGGGCTCTGGGTTTTGTGGTGCAGAAGATGGCTATTCCAAATCTGAGTCAATTTCTCACCAATATTAGCCCATATACAGATCCAAGTGCAGCTTTTATTAAGGAATTCTGGGAAATAATTGTTGGCTGTAAACCTGTCTTGCCTAGTATGRACACAAGTACTGAGAAAACAAGTAAAATATGCACAGGCAATGAGACGTTGATGCATTCCCAGGATGTGTTTTTCAATGTCACAGAATTAAGGGTAACATATAATGTGTATAAATCTGTTTATGCTATTGCACATGCCCTTCACCAGCTGGTGTTCTGCAAACCAGCAGGAGAAGAAAAAATGAGGCCGTGTATGAATATATCTGACATTCAGCCTAAAGAGGTAAGAAACTGAGAAATCAATGTCAGAAGAGAAATATTTAATAAGACTTAACATCAGATATTATATATA